TTTTAATATGCATTGAGTTCTATGGGGAAAATTTCTGGGTAGCACACGTGAATTTAGTCTGGTTCAGTCTGCAGTACCGCGAGAATCCCCTGAGCACATGGGTTATTCAGCTACAAGCTAGTAATACCCTATCCAGTTAATATAATACATCCATGGCTTGAACTCACTCTGAAGTGTGTGTGTCCGTCTTTTTTAACACACCGGGTGGGTGCGGATTGCGCGGGTGAATAGTTCCACTCGCCAATTCCCTCCGGTGAGGAGGGGGAGTGGCAGTTCGCCAGCACAATCCTCTCAATTTGATAAAACATTGAATTGCTCAAAAAAATTATAATAGTAGGCTGAAAAAAAAGAACATAAAGGTGCCTTGCACCCAATTGTTTTGAAAGATGTGTTTGATTTTAAAAAAACATTTTAGTACAGTAAAGTACTGGACAGTCTGAATTCAGAGGGTGTTGGTGCGCCCGTGCGATTTCAGACATGTCACTGTTTGTTCAGTGAGGTTGAGGGACGCAGTTAGAAGCTTACAACGGAGGTGGGCAATGTTAGGCGGGCCAACTGAAATGGTCCGGCGGGCCAACTTTGGCCCGCGGGCCCCACTTTGGGCACCCCTGAGCTAGATGCACTTTCTGGTGATTTCAATAAAACTTACCTCTACTCGACTGGGGATTACAGGGGAACGAAACAAGCTAGAAACAAATTCATTTTTGTTGATGAAAGTAGACAGTCCATTTTTTCAGAATCTGGTTTTGGATTTCAGATAGTCATAGTACACAATATTCTGTGGGTTTTGAAAATTCAGTAAAAATCCTCAGAAATGGCTGGCAATATGGGAGTACGTGTTCTGAAATAAGCTGGCAGTCAATCACATGTCCGAATGTTCCGCCCATTTATAATAATATCACTCAGAATGCCACGGACACGTGCGTGTGTGTGATGGTGACAGCGGTAACGTGGTCATATAATACACGTATATATATACACACACAGGGGCCATTCTCTGATGTTGTGTGACACACGGAGGAGAGGAGGAGACAAGCTGAAATGCAACCAAACTCGCAAAATTAAAGCTGGGGTACCTACATTTTCCCTTTCATTAACAGCTCTTGTTGGTTGTACCCAAAAGTAGAAGGTTGTGAGCAAGTCAAACAGATTTAAGTACATTTGGTATGAATAACAATGTGTCATTACACTTGAAAATCTCATTTAACTTCAATTGGAGTGGATTTGAAATAGAAGGCTTAAAATGCGATTAATCGTGAGTTAACTCACCATTACTATGCGATTAATCAACTAAAAAAAATTAATCGTTTGACAGCCCTAGTAAAAATCTATAAACACTAACTAAATCTCTGTAAGCTTCCAGATTCCATTGTGAATATTTCATGCAGTCATGGTTGGGAATGTCTCTATCAAGGTCCATTATGAAATTCTGAATTACAAACCCAAAAGAGCAATGAATGAAGCGATATTATGGTCTATTCAAAGCATAAAGTACAGGCTCTTCACTCCTATCACTTGCACTCCAGTGGTGTGAGATAGAGAAGACAAAATTGGCTACTTTGGGGACAATGACTGATTTGAAATTCAAACAACTCCCGGTAGTCATCGCAGCACCTCGAGACTGGAGGAGATGGGAGGAAGCTTTCTCTTCCGTCTCACAGTGTCGGAGGTGAGCTGCAGCTAAAGCCTGAACTGTAATAGTCTGACAGAACTAAGGCAATATGTATATGCTAATATACTTACGGTAAAGCAGAGTAATCAATGAGGGTGAAGAGTGACAGACGATGATTTTCAATGCAATGTACTGTTCATGAGTATTGTCAGTTTTGTCCTATGATGAAAGAGTCATATTAATATCATTGTTCCGTTAGGTGTTGCATCCTGGCTTTTTTGTTATATGCATACGTTATTGCAATACCATCAATGACATCTTGGTATTTTAGTGAAGCTACAGTGTTTTCAGTCATTCGTAAGTTTAATTCCACTAGGTGAACAAAGGGCAGCACTGTAAACAGGCTTCTCTGACAATTTTCAAAACAGTTCAGTTTAGCTTTGCAAATGACTGATTCTTTTAATTATACTCTGATTATTTATGTTTTATCTGTGTATGATTTGAATATTTCCTGTATTTTCTATCAAGCACTTTGAGTTGCCTTGTGTGCTTGAGGGCTTTTAATTAAATAATTAATGAGTTAATTGGCAGATACTTTCAAATGTACAACGTTTTTGTTATCAAATGAAGGAGTGTAAGCCTAACACTATAGTTTTGGATAAATGTTCTAAACAAATACACAGCCTTTGGAATTATAATAATTCTATTTGAATCGCCCATTGTGATTCAAGAACGCGATCTGATACACATTATGAATAATACAATAGCTTTAAAATGGGTTAAATGCAGGAACATGTTGCTTCCAGCTAATCAGTGTTCATCAATTCAAATTTAACAAAGAAACATAATAAATTGTGTACTGTATTTTAACATTGTGATATTGTAGCCAGCTATTTGCATTCTAATTAGGGTAGCCCAAACTACAGGTATATAGACAAACAATAATGAAATCGCATTATTGATATTGCATGTGCAAACATTTTAGCATACAATTTGTTTTTCAATGCATACATTTTTCCATTTGCTGCTTGAGTGACAAACTCACTTGGTCAAGTGCCAGAAAAGGTTAGCAAACAATATGGAAAACACTGTAGTTCCAGCATGCATGTTGATTTCTTTGGGGAAGTCAAATATTGCAATATTTTATCACAGTCCTTGACACGCATAACACTCCCTAATACTCATTATAGTGAATTTTAATGATGAAGATGTATTGACTCAGCCCTAATATTACTATCATTCTCTTCCCTCACTTTCATATGCCATGAGGCTGACAACGCCAAGACTAAACCTTAGGTCGTTGCATTTCCCTCTAAAACAAACTTATAATTACATGAAGCAAGGTTGTCTTCAGAGTAACTGTGGTCTTGCCCTTATTCAAATCTCCTTCCCATCAGGCAGTAGAGAAAATTAATCTGAAAGCAACAGCGCTGGCGGGTGTTTGAGACTTGTCTGTTTCCTCTGCACCAGGAGCACTTTGGAAACACTCACCATCGCAGTGGCCTCATCAGCATGTGCATCCCAATCGGCAGCATTCAGCCAGACAACTCCCTCCGCGCCGCACGGACACCAAGACAAGCCCAAAGCAGTGGAACTATTCTGGGCCTCTCTGCGCTGTGGTAGCCCATTTTTGCTTATTCTGATAAAAGCTTCATCCAAATCCCAAATGAGCCCATCGGAAGTGGAAAAATATAGCCGTGCAAGATTTCATTCATTAAGTATACTGTAGAGCGGTTGTTTATAGGTATAACAGAATTTTAGGGTAATTTTTAAAGCTGGAAACCATTTTTTTCATAAATATTACATGTTGTTTTTCCCAACAGAAAGCGTTTATATTTTGCATATTTTACATGTCTCTTTTGAACTTTTCTGTCTATAAAAAAAAAACAGATCTAGAGAAGTGTCAGAGGCCAAAAATAAATATGTGTGAAAACTAGTGATAGAACCAAACCGTTTTGAGAGCGACAGACTATTTATTATGGATGTCAAATAATTTTTTTGTGGTTTGAAAGTTAGCTTCCCTAGCTTTTAAAGGGAATTCAAAAAAAGACAGGTGGACATGAAATACAACGGGGGACATTGCATTTGCATAAAGGTCTTCCATTTGGGCACATTAGCCGAGAAAAGCTTTTTCAAACATGAATGAGCTTTAGAAACATTACTTAAAGTTGTGAGGGGCAAGCATTTCAAGCGCCGTTTCAGGCTCCGTGTCAACCGCTACGCACGCATGTTTACTCGAATACAAACCCGTCGCTCATAAAGGGACTGCACAGACAGACAAAGTGACAGCAGCATTGGGCAGAGGGATAATGGAAGAAGACTGAGTAAATCCCATATGTGCTTAATCCAGACACTTACAACACGGCGTGATTCATACTCCATTACACTGCCCTAATACAAGCTCAGACACACGGCGTGCAATCAATTCAGAGCGCGCTAACTGGCAAAATAACAGCCATGAATCTTCTTTATGCGGTGGTGAAAGCAGAGGGTTCACAGGTCAGGGATGGAGCCTCACAATGTGCTTATTATCCATTAAACATGGCTGGCTTTGTGGTGCCTCTATAGCCTCTGTGAGAAACATTATTGACCAGGCTCAAACCACTTCATCTGGAGATTTCACAATGCCAGAGCAACTGGTAGCACATTGTATGATCTACAAAGCTATTTGCTATTATCTGCTGTGTTAGGATTACAGTGAATATGAATAGTGATTGCTGGATATTAATGCATTTCGTTACCAATAAATTGTATGTGAATCAGACAAAAGGTGGATCGCTGAAAGGTTATAACTGTAGGACTACTAAACTCAGTAGTAATAACAAATCTAAAAAAGAAAAATTATGATGGTACATTTTACTTTTAAGGATATACAATACAATCGGCCTGCCTCATTACCAAGGAGAGGAGTACAATTTTTTATTCTGTTTATTTTAAGTTTGAAAATTACCAGCTGAAAAGACAGCCATGCAATTTTAAAAAGATGTCACTTCACCTGAGAAAATACCAGAACTAATTTATGTCCTAGTTTTGTCTTTGAAGGGCAGAAAACTGCTCTGAGCGATGTGTCATAGAGGTACACTGACAACAAGAGGAGTTACATGTTTGTGTAATATGTGTATTACGTAAAACGTTTGTTGGAAGCTGTATCAAAAGTATTCTGCGCACGATTCTTCTTGTTTGGCGCCTAAAGGGGTTATTAATTGAATGGTAAAAAACCTCAGTAAGTACAGCCATACAATATGCAAAACTTCACTGGTACAGTCACTGGTACAAACACAACTGCTCTACTATAACCGCAATAAATCTATAATTCATATCACAAGTTTTTCTTTCAATCACTTCATCCTGAACGAGACACATTTCATATTCCAATGTCATGACTTACCTTTCTTGTCCCCAAAAAACAGAGTCTGCTGTGCCGGGTTGGACCACTGGAGGGAGGTGTTGTCATTGTACTCCACGCGGCAGGTGAGGTTGGCCGTCCCTCCTTCTGTCACTGTCAAGTTCTGGACCAGAGGGTACTGACCGCTGAGGCCTGCAGCACATCGGACAAGACACAGGGTAAGACACACGGGGAACCGGCTCTCCAACATATGCAGCTCTTCTATTCAAACACAAGGCTATGCAGCAAACACCTTCACCTCTGACAAGCGACTAACCAAAGAGAAAAAGACTCTCCCAGGCGAAAACAATGACATCTGACATACTGAGTGAAACATAAATGCATGCACCTCTTCATTGACTTTATTTGTGGATAGAAAGATAGATAGAATTTAAAAAAAGCAAGAGATAGATAGCATTTGACAAAAACCAGACCCTGTCACGGTGACGGTGTAACTGCTGAATGATGGTAAATAGTCATAGTAAATGGTTGTCAACTAAACACACAATACAATACAGATATCAATACACAAACATAAACTATTATGCTGAAACATACCATTATAGAACAGTTTTACCTTTCCTTAATAGTTTTACAAATATCATGATATGATATGATATCATGCCAAAAGTACTAAGTGTAAAAATCCATATCCAACAATACTTTTCCTGTAGTACAGTGACATTTGTGTTCAGTATTGTGACAACAAACAACGCTGCGGTAGTTTGTTTGATGATCTTGCGAATAGAACTCATTGATATCACTATAACCAACAGTGCACCTGGACTTGGTCAATGGTCATGATCTAATGGCTTATTTCTATAGCTAGAACCGTCCAATCCTACTTCGACAAGTGCAAGACTTTAAAACTGGCTAATGCCCTAATTACAGAGCAAATGTTCAGTAAAGAATGACCGGTCACTGCTGTGCTCTAAATTGGAGTCTAACATGAGGAAACACAAGGGGCAGTTAGCCTGCAGTTGCAACCTTGAAACCTCAACTCCACAGGGAACACCAATTAAAAACCATCCTCTGTGGAATTGTGCCATGTTTGTCTGTGAAATTGCTGCGACGAATTAGAAAAAAGAACAATGTGCTAACAACTCCATCGCTCCCGGTAAAGAGCCAGATTCTATGGCAATAACAAAGCACCGTCCGCGAGCTTATGGCTGGATGAGGCGGATCCTGTACATAAGCTGGATACATCTGCGGTGAGACTGGTGTTCAAAAGTATCAATCCCCACAAAGCACCTGGACCTGACGGTGTTCCAGGGGCTACGTGTTTACTAACATCTTCAAAAGTTTCACTAATGCCGCTGTTCCAAAGATCACTCCTGGTCTTCCATCCCATTGCTCTCACTTCTGTCATCTTGAAATCGAACGAATGGCCAACATACAGTACATCTGTGCATGATCACACCTGTGTATCACTAGACCCGCTGCAACTATAGAGCGTATCGAGAAATAGAGAGAGAATAGGTCCACAAATGATGCTATTTTTCTGGCATTGCACACAGTCTTCAACCACCTGGACAAAGAAAACAATTACGTATGAATTATTTGTTATTGATTACAGCCCTCTATACCATAGTTCCCTGCATGCTGATCTTCAACCTGACCAATTTGGGCATCAAGAAATTGGTCTGGAACAGGATTTATGAGATTCCATTATAGGCCACAAGCAGCTTTAAACCCCAGGCTTCCGCAGGGCTGTGTCAAAAGCTCGCCTCTTTACTCTCTGCTTACAAATGACTGCACGGCTCAAATGTGATCTTTAAATTTGCTGACAAAACCCAACCTAGGCCTCATGAGCAACCATTAAACCATCTATAGAGACAAAGTAACATCAGAGTAACATCAACCTCTTTTATCGTCAAGCTGTCAGAATCCTTAACTCACAGCACCAGCACTTTATGTCAGGCTACAGTGCAATATTCATCTGCAATAAAAATATGTTTTTGGTTGTTATTGTATGTGGGAATGTACTTATTGTAGATGTGTGTGTAAAGAATATTTTTTTGAGATGGACAGAGCACAGCAAAATTAAGCTCAAAGACAAATATGTTCTGCACCAGATTATAGCTTCAGCTAATTTCCATCTACAGTTACATGAACAAAACAAATAACATGCAATGAAATTACAACAATCGCCACAATATCATATGTACAATTGCATATAATGGCACCCCCACCTACCTACACACACACATACAGGATCACACCAGTGCATTACAACCTCACCTCAGAGCACTTACAACATCTCACGGACCATACATCCTCTCGTTCACATCATATGAAATTACTAAGCCTATAACGATTTCATTCTGTAGTCCATAATAACATTTTCTCACACATCTATCCATACAGAATTGTTTTGAAGAGTGTAGATAGCATCTTGTCAAAAGGCATTTTATGGCAATGATGTATGATGACTGGTAAATGAGAAATATATCGTAATCTGATCTCATCCATGAGGTGGGAGAAAATGGCATACGAAAAACAGAGAGCAAGTTTTGAGTCCAGGACCATGGACAGGTCATTCTGTAGCTGTGACTTAAGGACCACAGACAGTTCTAACTACTTGTCTGCGTATTATAGAAACGTCACATGGCACATCCAACATTTATCAAATCACATCAAATTATGTTCACAAAATTGTTATAGCAACATACATTTAGAGGCACACTCACAAGAATGGATTAACAATATTATCATGATGACTAAATGCATGTAATAGATCCAACTTCCACAATTTCATACCTAAGTACGAATCAGTGGAAAACACTCCGAAAAGCAAGAATGTTCTGTAATCTCTCATTAGGCCAGTGGTCTTCAAACTGGTATTCTAAGGACATGCCTGGATGTAGGTTTTCAGTCCAAGTCAGCAGGGAACCCTGAACTCACTAAATTAAATGCAAAGGCAATTAAATTAACAATGACAGTTAAGAGCACAACAAAGACTAACCATTAAAGTTATAATACTATAGAACTAATATCTTCAGCTGCGAAAAAAAAACACACAAATCTGACTCTATCTAATGACTGATTACAACATTATTACAAAAATATACTAACAAATGTACTAAATATAACAAGTGAAGAAATTGTGTTTTCAGAACCATGGACAGCTCCCAGTGCTCCTGTGTGCACTGCATAAGGGAAGGCTGAAGGCAGGCAGGTAAATAATAATCATCATAAATCTCTGCCTGAATGGATCCCCACAGGACAGGTTTTAAAGAGTCTGAATAAAGGCTTAGGCGAAAAACATTATTCAACACAGTAAACTCGACTTGGAGCCATGGCCCCTCCCGCCATATCAGATGAGGCTCAGAATCATGCAATGACTAACAGGTCAACGAGAAAACCCACACGCTATATTGTAATAATGTTTAGCATAAACTTGAATTGATTTAAAATTCACATCATATTATAGTCTTTATTGTAAAATAATCTCCTTGAGAATGTCTGTATGTGAACTATGGATGCCTCACTGACATGCAGACAAGTTGCCAGGAGCAGAGATGGGCTGGTGAAGGAGAAAAGTGCAGGTACGGCTGGTGCACGGGTCATTTCCAGTGTTGATTAAGGCCTCCCGAGGTTAATCATGCGCGCCACAGATAGAGCATGAGGAGTCGGAAAACGCTGGAAAAATGAATCTCTGCTATGGAAGCCTGGAAGGATGTTTTATTCATGGAAGTTTTGCATGAAGCATGATCTGCCAATGATTTACTGTTCTATCGCGTCTGGCCTTGGTCTCTTTATTACATTCTCTTTTTAAATCACTTACTTTCCCTCATTTTTCTCTCTGACGCATCCAGGCAACACACAGCGCAGCGTGAGGCATGTTATTCCCTTTGTGGCGGCCACAATAGTCTGTTAAAATCAAATAGGAAGAGCGTGCTCGGCTGAGGTGGTCTGCAGGAGAAAATGAACTATAATTTGAGATGATTATTCTAGTGTTGCCATTTAGGAAGGCAGTCATCAGGGATTGCATAAGTTTAAAACTGTCAACAGCTCAGTCTAAACAAGCCTGTGTCATCACTGATTGGCTTTTCAACAACAAGAAAACAAGACAAGAGTGATGAGTTATGATAAACACTCACATCACTGCCTGGATAATGGTGATGCAGAAGTTAGTGGGTGTGTTCATCTGTCAATATAAAGTAAACAGAAATATTTAGACAGACCAGTCCAAAAAAACAAATCTTCGAAGAAAAATGTTTTATGCAACCTATCTATTGTTCATACTTGTAAAGAACATTTGAGCTGAGCTAAATATTTAACATAATCATCTTCTATCTGTCAATCAATCAACTAAGTGCTTCACATTGACAACGTTTAACATCAATCAAAACACACTGTAAAAAGACAAGAATTTCATATATTTCCTGCCTATAGATGAACAGAGTGAATGTCCTACAATTTTTACATTTCATATGGGAATTTCCCTTATCACAATAAGGAAAATTCCTATGTTTTGCAAAAGGTCATCATCTCCTGGACTTTGCCAAGAATCTCCTCTAACTCAGTCTAGTCTGGGGAAGCCTGTGCTTTCGTCCTGGTCGGCAGTCTGCTACACCTCCAGTGGGACTCAGAAGGCCAAAGGGTGCACTATGATGGTTATATTAGAACGCTGCTCCAGTGTGTGCGCCTAATTGGCCAGTCGAGTAGGTTCTTTGCCGCTCCCCCTCGGCCACCTAGACCTGATTTAAATGTATCTCCGGAGGCAGCTGTTCTCTCCTGATTTCCATGTCTAAATTTAGGTCTCTCCTTGCCTCACTCCCAACACCTACTTTCACTTTCTTGCTCTGTCTTTTCCAGTTCATTCCAGCTTTGATAGTTTGGCTTTATTCCTGTCTTTGTTTCACTTTTGACAAGAACCCGGCAGAGAGGCCTGCTACGTGTTGCATTGTAAGAAGTGGGTTGAGCTAAGGTGAGCTACAAGATAAATGAATGTAGTGTATATATAATATGCATTAATTACACAAATATTATAACAATATGAATATAATGAAAAGAGATGCAACTCATCTATGATTTCTGAGCTGCCTCAGAACTGGAAGGAAAACATACAATAAAATACATACTGAAATTATTACAGTATTAAGCAGTGTGTTTTATAGGAGGCCACCTATACAACACACTGCTATCAATCTCTACAACTACTGATGCGTTCAATTTACCAAATCAAAAAAGGCAAAAATACGGGCA